TTCTCCTTAGGGTCCCTACTGTAGCTCTATATATACAGCATTAGGCTCTTGGAAGAGAAGACACAATCCCATAACCATGGGAAACACGTCCGCCCCCTCTCTCTCTCTCTCTTCCAAGGAGTTGTTCTATTTCTTGTGCTCCACTGATACAAGATCTAGATAGCTGTTTGAGAATACAGTAGAAGATCCTAAGGTATATACGGGATTCTAATCAGATCTATCATCCATCCAAACCGTAGACCAAAACCAGCAAGTGACCATACCACGACGACCAGGACGACGAGTCGAAGAGATCGCCGTCGAGATCGCCGCCAGCCACCGCCGCACGCGCCCACACACGCCACCGGAAGATCGCAGCTGCTGGGACTCACACGCGCGCGTGAGAGCGCGAGAATGCTCCGATTTCCGACCGGTCAACGCCGTTGACTTTGCTGTGACGTCAGCTTTCTGGATTGGTCAAGTTTGTTCGATTCCGAGAAGATTTGATTTGCGGTCATCTGTTCGGGCCAGCCAGATCTACATAAATTTTAAGCCGTAAGTTTTCGACATCAAACCTTTAGATCCGCTGCGCATAGGTTTATGTTGTTTGTTTATCCGTGATTTGTGCATATTGAGATCCTCATAGGTCCCAACAATTGGTATCAGAGCAGAGGTTAATCCGTTATGTACAAGATCCGGATTAAACGGCTTTTATTGTCTATGTGTGCTCAAGCGCAGCCATATATATTGGATTATATGCATAACTTGGTTTTGCAGGAAGTAGTTAATCCACTATTATGGCCACCCTTTTATGTGCTTGTGCTTAATTGATGGTTGGTTGTATGGTTTTAAATTTGTTTTTAAAGCCTCGGGATTGTCAAGGAATTATAGATGATTGCTTGTATTAATTGCCCGGGGGTTGACCGGATAGTTTAATTTATTAGTAGAAGGCATGTACATCCACTCGCTGGATCTAAGAATCGATTTATGTAATTTTGTAAATTATATTTTTCGAATTGTGATCGACCGTTGGAGACCGGGCCTTCACAAAGATCCAAAGAGCCTCGACGGAAAAAGCAAGGAAGAAACCGGAGCCGGGAGCAAAGGCTGGCCGGTGCGGCCGCGCGCGGCTCGAGCCGGGTGGCTCACACCGGCTCGCGTTTTATTAAAAAAAAAAAGTTCGACCACCGGGGTGGCGGCCGGCGACCGGCGGGACGACCGGAGGACCTCGGCAACATCCATGGTGGAGGTTTTGTGGAACTTGCAGTACAAGTCAACCGAGATTCTACTGCAGTTGGAGTTCCAGTTGGTTTAGGAAAGAAATCCTAATCCAAGGAGAATAAATATTTAATTAGCCATAATAGTGGATATTTATTTATAACATTAATTATTTATTTGTTTATTCATGCATGGAATTAATTGTTGCCTTGTGTGCATATGGTTATTTAGAATTGCATGAATATATTAAAATCCTCTTTTAAATACTAAGTTGAGAAGGATATTTGTAACACCCCGAGTTTTATTAATAAAGGAAAATACTAGCTATTAATGTTAAGCTAGCCTTTGTTAATAAATAATCATGTTCATGTTCAAGTTCAAATTATTCAGTTAGTTATATTCCAAGTCCGACTATTAGTCGATAAATTATTCGGTTAATTATTTCCGTAACCGGATAAGTTTCCAGATTTAATTTTGATTCATTTATTTAATTAATAAGTTCGAAATTAATAAGTTAAGTTCACGAATTATTCGAAATATCAATATTCGGATTAATCGTCCAAGTCAGGAATATCCGAAATTATTTTCGAAGTCACGTTTGTGTTCGAAATAATTGTGGTAATTAAGTTAAGTCATGTTTGTCTCCTCTATTCCAAGAGCCTAATGCTGTATATATAGAGCTACAGTAGGGACCCTAAGGAGAATAGGATAAGGGCTTCTAATATATTAATACTTTGGAGCAACCCCACAATTAATATATT